CCAGGCAGCACGTTATTTTCCATCAGGCAAAGCTGGTTTAAATTTCACCCACCAGGGGGCCCTCCCTGGGGGAGCAACAAGCTAAAGCCAGCACCATCAAGTTATTGACAGTCACGGCAGGCAGAGTTCTACCCCCGGCCAGGGAGTGACCCACATGGTGCAGCAGACCTCTGCTGTCTCCCGGCTGCTCCCCTCAACAGTGTATTTCAGTCTACCTGCCTGTTCTGCTCCCCACTCTGACTCCGGTGAATCCTCTCACCACCCCCTCCATGCACCTCTGATCTGTACCCCAGTTCTTGTATGCACAAAGAAATAAATCTTCAAAATAAAAACCACATCACTATACCAGCTGTTTGAATATCCCTGGGCTTTCGTTTCTCTCCTGCAAACACCAAGACACACGCCAGGATCTGGCCTGCCACACGGGTAATGTTCCATCCATTTAAAATACAGGTGTGATCACATTGATGGACTTGAAGACTTTTTATGAGTTCTCAGTACACATAGAATAAATTCCAAGTCCAGATCGGTGAGGTCCTGAGTTACTCTCTGCTCCTGTTCTGGCGTCAGCACATGTGAAGTGCTTCGGGTTTTGTGAATGCACCATGGCCTCTCCGGCTGGTTGGCTTCTCTTCGGTCTGCTCCTTCTGCCTGGAGCCCCTGGCTCTCCTTCCCCTCTCTCGGCCTCTCCTACTCTGCTTTGATCTGGCCCTTCCTCCTCCATCAGCTCCCCAGGGAAATGCCACTTCCTCCAGGAAGCCTCTTCTGCATGCCCACCTTGGGCTATTGAAGCCTCCCCTGCGCGCTGAAGACCCCCTTAACTCTTGCCCTCTCGCCCGCTGTCTGCCCGGGGCAAGGAGGCTGTGCTCTGGCGTCTGAGTGTCTGCAGCCTACCAGCGCCTTGGAGACAGAGACTGTGTCTACCAGTTTTCACCATTTTATCCGTAGCCCACAGGGCTATGCTGGGCTCCCGGTCATGGAAAAACAAAACAAAGGGTTAGACAAAGATAACCTTGAAAACCAGCCCTTGGAAACTGACCATGGATCTTTGGCTTTCAGAGAGGGAGGGAGAGGTGGGAACAGGAGGGGGAGGGGAGGTGCTGTGGCCGGGTGGCACGCTGACTGCCCTGGCCGGGAGGGGGGCGACTCAGTCCAATCGCTTTAGCGAGGTGCAAAATGATGGCATTTCAAAAACAAGCATAAGTACACAACTAAAGCTGCCTGAGGAGGCAATGAGGCCAAAATTTAAAAAAAAGAAACTGAAAGAATGAGAAGTAAACACCACTTAGCTTTCTCCTCCACATCCACGGGGTAGTCAATTCATTTTACAAATGAAGAATCTTAGGTGCAGCGAAATAATACAGGACTGGATTCTTACTCGCCGCATCATCCACACACACACTCTTTCTATACCCCCAAGCGCCTCTTGATTTCGGAACTCAGTTTCCGTTTTCCCCATTCATCTCCAAGGGGGGATTTCGTGTCAGCAGCACAGGTGGTGTGCAGACGACGCGCGCGCCGCTGTGTGAATTATGAAAAGGGCCCTTGCCAACGGCTCGCGGGTGCCCGGCGCCCATGGCCCGCGGGTGCCCGGCGCCCATTTGTGTGCACAGATCTTTGAGCCCTTGTGACACTGTAGTGCGTCCCGGCCACCGATCCCCAGGGCTGCAGCCACTGGCACTTTCCTGGAAAGGACTGTGTGGCCGCCGCTGCTTGTTCAACAGATTTCACAACAGATAATCAGTGAGGCTTCCGATATGAAAAAAAAAAAAAGGAACTAATTATGAATATCAGCATTCTCCTCTAGCCTTGGGGCTGGGGCACTGGGAGAGGAACACAGATTGCGGGTGAGTGAAGTGTGGAGTTGGGGGAAGTGAGGGTATCTGAACAAAAGCCCTTGGCCAGAGTCTCCTGTACCTCAGTACAGAGCGGCCCTGCAGGCTTAAACAAAGGTAGGTGCCGGGATGTGTCTTCGTAGGCTTTGGGGGTGATGCGTCTCATCCAAGGTGTAGGCTCCCTGGGATGGGAGGAGAGGGGGTGACCCTCCCACCACCCAACCTCAGCTGGTATTCTGGGCTCAGGGATGTGTGGGCTTTGGAGAACAAGCTTTGTTGCAGAAGATGGGAGTAAGCACTGGCCTCTGAAGGTTGGCAGCACCTCTTGTGTTAGGCTGTTTCATTACTGTTGAGTTCTAGATAAATCTCCAGGCTATCTAGAAGCTCAGTGCATACTTCACACTTTTGACTAATTATTTTGACTAATTATTATTATCATGTTTTCTCCTCTGACTCTAACGTGTTCTTTTTAAAGGGAAGGTTGGTCTGCAGAAATTGGTGAAGTTGTAGGGCAAAGGGGAGACTTTATGCAGGCCCCAAGATAGACTTGATCTCACGTAGCTCTCCAAGTGCCTGTCATCACCCCTGAGATAGCCCAGACGTAAACTGAAGGCAAAGAGTGGATTCTTCACCTTCTTGGGGTCAGTGAGAGGCTTGAAGTCACTTGTTCCCAATGCATTCTTTCTCTGGATGAGGCAAATGAAACCCAGAGAAGGGAAATGATTTACGCAAGTCACACTAGTCAGTGGAAGAGCTAGGAGTTGAACCCAGACTCCCTAATTTCTATTCCATACTTTCCCTGCCCAGGTCACCTCTTTATTTTCCGTCCTCCTCCAGGTCATCCAAGCCCAATCTCCTTCTAGACACCTGTTGCTTTTCACAGATTTGACAGAGAAGGACAGGTAGAGCCTCAGACCACCTTCCTCTGCTCCCCGTTTGGCAATGGTGACCCACGAGCAGGAGAGTGGTTAAGAATAAGGAGGCTAAAAAGACTGATGCAAATGTCAGTCCTCAAAGGGGTTGGAGCAGGCAGAAGGAGAAGGGGGTCTTCTAGGGTTCTTCTGCATCTGTAGCAGGAACAACCATGGAAAGTCACTGGTTGTCAATCAGAGGATGTGACAAGCTGCCATCAGTGTCTTCCCAGTTCCGGGGGAAATGCCCATCCTATCTGTTCTGATTTCTCTGATATTTGGATGTAAGGAAGTTGAGCCCTGGACACTAAGCACAAATGCTCATTCTGGTGGGGAAGGGGGGTGTCTTCCCGGTGCAATAACACCTGGATGTCTTTGGAGTGAAAGTAAGAAGTTATCACATGAACTTGTAGTCTTTGTTCTTTACAAGGACAGAGAAGTGACCAGAAACTGGGCAGAAATATGGAAATACTATGAGTCATTTGAAATACTATGAGTCATTTGAAAATGTTGTTTTACTCTAGTGCCTCTGCCCTGAAGCAGCTCAGTGTTATTAAGCATAGAGGAAGAAGTCCCAGGGATGCCTGATAAGGCATAACCTACATTTCCTAATGCCTTAGTCAGAAGGTATGTCTGAGAGAACAGCACATTGGTTCCATGGCATTAGAGGAAAATCAGGTAAAACACACATTGCACTGGGCTAAGAATTACCATTGGTAGTTACTTTGTTAACATGTTTGGCCTCCATGATGGAAGACGATAACTGAGCACATTTAAGCTGCTCCTGACCATTGTCCAGCTGAGTAAGTTGCATGTGGGGTGGGGTAGAGGCACAGTGGGGCTGTACCACTCCCACTAATGGACTTCCTCCTTGATGAGTAAAATAGCTGCTTTGGGAATATTAAAATAAGTCAGATATGAGTAGTGCTGTTAATAACATGCTTATACATTTTTGGTGTACATTTTTTGTCTTTGTGTGGACATGCGTTGTCATTTCTCTTGGGTGTCTTCCTGGGTGAGGGAGTGTTGGGTCACCTAGGAAGTCTATCCTCAACATTTTGAAATGCTACCAAACTATTTTCCAAAGTGGTTATACCAACTTACAATCTTAGCACCAGTGTTTCAGGGTTCCAATTTCTTCATGTCTTCACCACCACTTCTGTTTGTATGTCTATTTTTTCCATGCTAATGGGTGTGAAGTGGTGTCTCATTGTGGTTTTTATTTGCATTCCATTAATGAGTGATGTCAAACATATTAAAATATGCTTATCAGTCATTGCATAATTTCTCTAAAATTGTTGTTGGGCTAAGAATATAGCTAACAGTAGCTTACATCAAGATTTGTTAAAAGGTATGTTCTTTCTCTTTGGTACAGCTATTTTTGCTGTTTTCAACTCTGTCTGTCTGTCTATCCATCTATTGAGGAAACATTGGTTTACAGTGTTGTATATGATTTAGAGGTGTAGCCCCTTTAAGAGTATGTCACAAAGCCACAACTCCCATGAAGTGACCAAAAGTCCTATTGATACAATTGTAAATAAGATTCTGTAATTATGGAAGTTATCCTTCAAAGGGAAAGTGGCTGTAACTATGAGAAGAATAGGGGTAGAGATCAAATTTGAGCGCAGACTTGATAGATGAACTTGAAGACCTTTCCCTGATTATGCTGAGGGCCCAGCATATTTTACCTCAATTGCATCCACAATCCCCTTTCTTCAAGACTTTCTAGCATCTTATTATTTATTTATTTAATATTTATTTATTTATTTATGCATACAGAGCTGGGGTACAGGCCAGAGGTGCAGGGCAATGAAAGGATTCACCAGATACAGAGTGGGGAGCAGAACAGGCAGATTGATGAAGTACACTGCTGAGGGGAGCGGTGGGCGGGTCAGGAGAGGTCTGCTGTGCCATGTGGATCACCTCCGGGGTGGAGATCGAACTTGCACTGAAGTGGCTGCAGCTAGCCTCCAATGCTGTGTCCCAACCAGTTGCACCACCGGGGAGGGCTCGACTTTCTAGCATCTTAGTCATGAGGCATTTAGTTTCTTTTTCTGTGTACTTCCCTCCTTAAGGCGTCTTTTGCTCCACTTTCCTGGGTGACATTCCCAGTAATTACATTTTGTGATGATGTCTTAATAGTTGTCATAATAGAGGAAAGAAGGTGCACCAGAGGTGGTCCTGTCACTCCCAAGACATCATCCTAAACTCCATTCCTTATTGTAGCACCTTTCCCATGGAAACCATGCAAGGATTAGAACAGATGGTGCCAGAGTCTCGCCCTGTGGTGTACCAACCAGAGAAGCCTGATGCTATAAAATCACGTCTATGGAAACAGATGTCAGAGAAGTTCTTGAAGGGGGAACCCAAAGTCCTTGGGGTAAGTCATTTGCCTATCTGGGAGAAAACAAGTGGTTTTGTAAAATCACAACTTGATCACTGCTAATGCTCAAAAATATTCTGTCCCACTAAGCTCACAGTCTATGAGCCAGTCTGGAGACACCCATGTTTGATATTCAAGACTGCCACTTGAAAAGGGATATACTATTTTATTATATCATGCTTCTAATTTAATTTTATTTGAAGTATAGTGACTTCAGCTCTAGTCTAGGGTTGTGAGTCAACCATGATGACTTTATTTAGCTTCAGCATGGAAAGACAGGTGCAGGCTCTATCCTCCTCCAGCCCTCCTTGAGATCTGGGGCTGCTGAGTCTTAAAGGATGCAAGTTCTCCTTTGTGTGTTTCTGTCTGGTTTCTCAGGTAAGTGTGTCTAAAAGAAATGGTGGGTTAGATAGGCAGTGGATAGATAAAGGATAGACAGGTGGGTAGATAGTGGCAGCAGACTTTTATCTCTACCTCAAGCTTTAAACCAGGAGGACAAAGTCACTTGGCACTTTGGATCCATTTTAATGCCCCTGGGTATTTGTCTTCCAGCTCCTTTATTTCTCAATCCCATGCTCACCTATGTGCTTGAGCCTCGAACCCCAAGAGAATGTCCTATCACTTTTCTCTTTCTCTTCCCTGTATAGATTATTTCCATAACCTTTTGCAGGTTCTTTTTCCTTTTCAGAACAATTATTTCCTCCCTAATTTCTGCCTGGGCTTGTGCAATGGAGAGCAACACCATGTGGGAGCAGCCCCACGTGCCTTAATGAGCTCCCCTGGGGAGTCCTGGCATTTGTACTCCTTTTACCTTGAAGTTATTGGGGTAACTGGGGTTGTCCAAGAGATGACCCAGTTAGGACATCTACAGTGCTGTATGTGCTAAAATAAGTGACAAGATCTATCAAGCCAGCCGTGGACTCTTCAAGAGATGGCAGATGAGGGGAACTCAGTGGTTAGGGAGGGTGTGGCTGTGGTATTACTTTTGTGGTGGATAAACCTTGCTCGTCATTTCTAGGTTGTGCAGGTGTTGATCGCCCTGATGAACATGAGTTTTGGAATCATAACAATGGCTGCCACGTTGCCGTTTTACGGGCCACATCCCTTTTCAGCGTATACAGGCTACACAATTTGGGGGTCAGTGATGGTGAGTAGTGATGGATATAGTTGGAGACACTACAACACAGTTGTTGGTGTGTTGAGCTTTTTATTTAGCTATATCTAACTTTGACTCAAAATTTTCAGTTTTTGAAATTTCCTTAGATTTTTAAAATGCATTTATTTATGCATTCAGAACTGGGGTACAGGCCAGAGGTTCAGGGGGGTGAGAGGATTCACCAGAGAGAGTGGGGAGCAGAACAGGCAGATGGATGAAGTCCACTACTGAGGGGAGCAGCGGGGAGACAGGAGAGGTCTGCCGCGCCATGTGGGTCACTCCCTGGCCTCGGATCAAACTCATTTTGAAGTGGCTGTAGATAGCTTCACAGTGCTGGACTTTAACTTGTTGTACCACCAGGGAGGGGAGGGCCAAAAATTTTCTCATATTTAAAACTGGAACAATAATGTAAAACTCATGGAAAGCTGGACAGATTCTTTACTTTGTATCAGGATATAATACCGCAGTATGTCACAAAAGACCCAAGCCAGAGTAGATTAAACACTGAACTAATTGATTATTTCATAAAAACCGAGCGGCAATGCATTTTCGCAGTTGGTTAATTCAGTGTACAGGGGTCTCAGTGGGGACTTATGGCAGACACATCTCATTAATACATGTTTTATATGCCTAAATGTTTCCTACTTCCAAGCCAACTATCAGCAAGTAATAGTGAGGTTACCTTTATTGGGTTGGACTAATTAAGATTCATTTCAGTGACTAGGAAGATTCATTGAATGAGAATAATCTTTAGTTTCTTTTCTTTTATGATCTTTTATTCAGTTTTGGTACCATATTAAAATTATTTCACATGAGAAATTTAGAAGTTTTCTATATTTCAAAGACTTCAAACAGTTAATTACCAATACAGTTGAACATTTTTGAAAAGGCCTCAAATTCTGTGACTCCATCTGCTATAATTTCTCTTGGTTTTGGTAAAGAGGAACCATTTGCACTTGCAAATGGTTGTATTTATTCTAACAAAATTGATCTACTGTATGGATAAGTTTTAGTAAGTGATGACCGCAAATATTAGTATAAGATATTTTACCGGCATTTCCCTCTTTTTGCTAGTTTATTATTTCGGGATCCTTATCCATTGCAGCAGGAGTTAGAACGACAAAAGGTCTGGTGAGTAATCTTCTAGTTTTTGTTAGTGGAATTGCAAGAAAAATTAACCAAGGGTGTATTCTGCCGGAGTGAAAAAACAGATTTTGCTTTTTAAGACAAAAGTCACATGACATTGTAACCTTTACTGAGTTGAATTGGTCTTTCGAAAATAATAGTTAGCTGATTATAGAGTGAATGACGTAGAACGTAGGAGTGAATAGTTAGGGAAGGTCGCTGCCGAGAAATCTTGAGAGCAAATGTCAAGCATGATGCATTAAACGAACCCTGGTGCCCACGAGGATATCGCACCAAACACTGGAGCAGCATCTATTTACTGACCTAGTGATGAACACATTATTCCAACTGTATGCAGAAAATGTTTGCTTTCCTTTGCGGCAACAGAAGTATCTAATAAGCCTATTAAATAAGCAGCAGCAAATTTAAAACTTAACTTGCATACCAGTTCGCCTTGTGCAGAGCTGACAAAGACGAAGGCCATATCTCCACAAACGTTTTCCCTCCCAAAGATCATATTTGATCTTTGCCCAGAGAATAAATACCAACCCGCAGCACATGATCAACACGAGTCTCACCATCTGGCCTGGTTCTCCCTCCCTTTGCCTGTCTTCCACATCGGCATTAAGATCTTCCCGAGGCCTCTTCAACCCCTCCTACCTTCTTTCTTGATGATGCCAAGTTCCCATAATTTCACCATGAGAGAATGTGGGGAGAGGAATTCACAGCCAAAGGAGGTAATACATGAAAGACAAGGAGGCAGGAGAGGCAAACCAATTAGAAAACACAAGAAGCCACATGCTGGAAGCTGAGCGAGGTGCAAACAGGTTGTCTCCTCCAGCGTGAGGGTATTAAAAGCTCAGCCAAGGAGGCTGGTTTTGACCTCGATGTGCCCACACGAGGTGTCTCCTTACCACGTGTGGCAGGGTGAAAAAGGAGTACTCAACGCTCAAGTGCAGAACAGGGAGAAGCCTAGAGGACACACTGCACGGCAGTCTCGCCTTTGTTTAGAATCAGACCGAAAATAAAAAGGATCAAAGAAGCAAGCAGGCAAAGGGGGTTTGCACTGCGAGTTGGCGATGCATAACCAGCTGGCCCAGCCAAGGCTGGGCAGAGGTGCAAAGTCAGGGCAAGTCTCTGTTCGTCTGCTCTCGGCATCACATCTACTGCTGTTTCTGCACGTTGCTGTTTTCAGCAGGCAGAGAGACCCCCACTCTAGGACTTTTGCCCCAATCGCTCCTTATCTTAAGCTTAATTTTTGCTGTTTCTGTGCCCTGAGAGGCACATAATAGTTGAAAAATAACCAAGCTAAAGTCACAGAATAGCTGAGGCCCATCCTAACCCAAGCTCCCACAAAGAGTCCCCTGAAAACTTCGAGTTTGGGAAAAACAGGATCCTACTTGCATTTTGGCAAGAGGTTAGAGTTGAAACTACTGTAAGGAAAGAGATAGGTTAGAAGACCGTGCAATAGGCGAGACAGAGACCGACTGTGTCAGGCAAGCAGTGGGTTTGTAAGGGGTTGATTAGTCATAGCTGAGGGTGCTGTTGGACTGTCTGATGGGTTCTCATTTCTTTCTAGGTCCAGAGCAGCCTGGGTGTGAATATCGTCAGCTCTATCTTTGCTGTAATAGGGATCATACTCCTGGCGATCAGCTTAAGTATATCCCAGTTTCACTATCATTACTGTAACTATGGTATGAAGGAAAATTGTTACATGATCACCTCTGTTTTAATGGTGAGTGCCTCCTTGTCACACTGGGCAGTGTGGTAGAAACAGGTCAGAGGAGCTGGGAAAGTAGCAAGCAGTTCTCCCTGGGAGATGGAGCACTCTGGGAAGCTGGCCATTGTCGTGAAATAGGATGGATGATATTTCACTTAGGAGTCTTTGTTATGAACTTGTTCACAGGGGCTGGATGGCATGGTGCTCATTCTCAGCGTGCTGGAGTTCTGCATAGCTGTGTCCCTCTCTGCCTTTGGATGCAAACTCTCCTGTTGTAATACTGGTGGAGTGAGTATTGGCTCCCTTTGAAGAATTCTCTATTCCTTTTCTAAAGTTGTATCATAGATTGGACAACCGGAAACAATGCACATTTACGATTCCTCCGTTTCCATGAGTCAAGAGTCTGGGAACCACTTAGCTGGGTCATCTGCTCAGGGTCTGAGAAACCTGTTGTCAAGGACTTTCCTAAGGCTGCCTCTCAACTGAGATCTCTGAAAACTGAGATCTCAGACCTTACTTCCATTCAACTGTCGAAATCACGGCAATCTCGTTTTGGGGCCAGAGGGAGAGCAGAAGTCTCTGGTGCTTTGGGGCTCGAAGAAAGGGTTCGTTCGCATGATCAGGATGCCATGTCAGTTGATGACAGTGAAGGCACAGGGGGATGTCTCGCATCGCACACACACGATCCATAGTAGCACCGTGGTATAGCCATGTATATACAGGCATCACCCATTCTCAGGGGAGGGACCACACCTGGGCTGGGGCACGGACATCATCTTGGGGTTCTGTCCACCACAGTGGAAAAAAAAACCCAGGGTCAGACAAAACCAGAACCAAATCACAAAATATAACAGTTGGATGATATTCATTTCCTGGTGCTCTTCTCAGCCACTTTTTGGCTCTTTACTGCCTTGGGGCAGTTCTCAATGGCACCCCTCGCACCACCTGCACCTCAGACCCCCCACCCCCAAGGCTAACTTAACGAGTGACTTTGGCGTTAAACACCCTAGAGGTGGGAGTGTCTCCAGAGTTCCCACTGATTCTGTAATTTTGCTTTGAAATGTTTCCTTGAGTGAAACATTGGTGTTAGGGACAAACTCCTTGACCCTTATATCTCAATATCTAAGTCTGTGTTCCCTGCTGTTCCTAGAGTAATTCCAAAGCTGAGCAATGTCCCACTAACTATTGTCCCCACTAATTCCACGAATTATAGCATGAGGAAGACCAATAAAAAGAGCAATGGCTTTGAGGCATGAGATGCCAAAGTCTTCCTCTCTTTCCAGTTCTCACGTCCACTCCTGACCCCGTTCCATTTCACACTGAGTTTGTGGAAGAAGGATCAGCATTTCCCCTAGTTTTCTGATGAGCCTTGCCATTCTGGATCAGGAGGCTTTTTAAAAATGCTTTAGTTGTGGCCAGCAAATCATGGCTGGGTCTGTTGCTGCCATCAGCATAAGCAGCCTGACTTGGAAGGAGAGTTCATGTATTTCCCATAACACCTAGATGTACCCAATCCTGGGCAACATCTCTGCAGGTAAAATCAATCCATTGGCAAGACAAGAGCTGTCTGCAAGAGCCACTAATGAATGTTTCCCTTAGCTCTAGCCTGATCCAAGAATGCCTGAGAGGCCCTCCCTCGGGGTGCAATGGGTTAAAGTACAGCATTGCAAAGTGGCCAACTGAGGACGCCAGGGTGCAAGTTCGATCCCCACCCCAGAGGTGACCCACATGGCGGGGCAGACCTCTCCTGACCTGCCTGCTGCTCCCCTCAGCAGTGTACTTCGCTGATCTGCCTGTTCTGCTCCCCACTCTGCCTCTGGTCTATCCTCTCACCACTCATCACTCAGGCCTGTACCCCAGTTCTGAATGCATAAATCTTTAAAAAAAAAAAAAAGGAATGCCTGAGAAACCCATCAAGTTGGTGCTGAGATTGAACTCAGACACGGTGTAGACAGACGCGGTATAGACAGACATGGTGTAGATAGACATGGTGTAGACAGACGCCGTGTAGACAAACAGGAAAACCTGAGGTAATGTGCCTGACTCACCTCTACACGCTGATTGATTTCACAGATTGTGTTCATTATGCCGCCGACCTCTCACACGGTGGGGACAGTTCCTTCTGTACCATCTATGGACGTTTAAGGCCACCAGCAGATCAACAGAAAAATGGGCCGGAAAATCTACTGTGACAGTGATGCAAAAGCCCCACTTGGGAAAGAACCACAATCATCTCAGCCCTCACTTCAGCGTCCCTGGCTCAATCATAGAGAAGTTGACTCAATCAATCAGGTGTGAAACAAGTCAATCGTGCTTGACAGGACTTACATGTCTTCAGCACATCATAGAATGATTGGAAGTAAGCAAATATGATTTTACAAATGAAGGGGAAAGAGATTTCTGGCATGAGGTCTCCCCGAAGGCCACATACTTCTGCTTCCGTGGATGACACCCCATCACTTGTTTAACTGTCTTTTGGGGGGGCACAGGCAGTATTTGCTTTCAGAAAGGCGAAGTTCAGGCTTCTCCCACTCCTTCCTTCCTGCTCTCCTTCTCCCACAAGGAGCATGGACTGCCATAGTCAGCTCTCATAGACCAGTTCCACCAGTATTTTCTATCTACCTCTTCACTCCGACTTGCCTCTTTCCACTTTCTTTCTTTCTCCACCCCCCTCAACCCCGTACAGGGCAGGATTATACCTTAAATCAAATTTACATAAAGTGCCACAAAAGGGATTGTGGAAGATGGGATACTTACTGTGTGTTCCATAAATACACTCGGTTATGACATGCAGATACATAAGATTAGAAGCAGTAAGTTCAAGTCCTGCCTTCTTCCTGTTCGGATGAGATACGATGCAGACTCAAGGTTGGTGTTGGGAATTCAGTGTCAAAAAATGAAAATGCCTTTGAATCCGTGATTGAGAAGCTGTCTCCTGGGACTTGTTTTAACTCTGATTTTTAATAAATAGTTTAAGCTATTTCAATCCAGTTCCTTAATGAGTATCAATAGGGTTTTATCATTTCTCTTCTTCTGAGTTTTTCATATCTTTGCCTATTTCTTTTTATATTTATTATGCAAAATTTTCATATTAGTGATACTAATCCATCAGCTCTATTCTAGCATGCATTGGTGATTTCCAGCTTATTTTTCTTTAGCATTGATTTTGGTATCTCTTGCTAAAAATTATTTTTAAATTGAATGTAGCAAATGTTTACTATTTTATTTATGACTTCTCATATTATAATTCATTTTCTTATCCCAATTTTACATCTCAAATTTACAGCATAAGAAAATACTGTTTTCTATTAAGCATTGTTTCATATTGTGAAACACTGGCATGAAATTTTAATCATTTACCTTATAATAAATACAATCTTGTCTATTGTACCCATCGCAATCTTCTCATTATTTTGTGTGTGCTGATATCTTGAACGACAGCTCCTTCCTTCACTGATTTTCTTTTCCAATATTTCATTTGCATTTTACAACGTCCAACACACATCTAATCCCATTAGTTGTGCTGATCGGAGTCAGCAGATCCTCAGGGGAATCACTCTCTCTTTCTCCCAATTTATTCACCAGGATGGCATTTACTCCTCCACCCTAATTTCCCCATTCTTTCTAAATCTGGGGAATGGGCAGAATTGCATCAACCCAACTAGAGAAGTTGCCCCTGGAGAAGCCTAAGAAGGACCCTTTGTATGAATCGATGATATTTCCAAACAAGGCCAACGCTAGCTTTTCCGCTTCAGTGACCAGGACAGTGTCCTTCTTAGGTCCTTCTTGTTAAGCTTCTAAACCTGTAACTATTAGCGCCATCAGGCTACTGTGTGAATCTTACATTGGCCAGTGCATTGACCAAGGCGGAGCAGAGTGGTTCCAAGTCGGAGTCCCTAGTGATGGCTTTTAAGTCTCCGAGTCAAAATATATAAGGATGTCAAAATATAATTTACTTAACTTAATGTTTATTGGATCGTTTAAAATTTTTAATCACAAACTTCAAATGTAACAACTTTAATATGTTGGTTTTTTAAATTTACCTTCTATAAGAGGCAACTCATGAGACATGTGCTTCTTATTTCAGCTGTCATTTCATATTAAAATTTAGTTCTATTTCCTAATGCCTTTATCTAGTAATATCCAAACCATGCTAACAACCTGGGCTGAAAGGGGTTTTCTTTCATGTAACAGAAATCACAGAACAAAATGAGTCAAAGCTATGCAAATCAATGCCAGAGTTATTTAAAATACATCCTTTGGTTTGATTTCTTTTTAGTTTACTGTGTGATAAACACAGAAAATATACATAAAGCCAGTTTTATTTGATTGTCTGGTGAGTAGCGAAAAAGTTAACCAGCTTTAAATTTCAGTTATGATTGAAACAAAGCTGACCAAGCACTGGGTTTCCCTTTTCAGCTTCTTTAAAGCACAGCAACTTTTTTTTTTAACTGACTCAGATGTATTGAGGTTGCTAATGTTCATGGGATTTTTCAGGAATTTAATTGTGATTAACTGTGATGGGTTGAAAGTATTGGACATTTTAATATTTCTGTGACCAACAGGGACATACATTCATGCCGAGGAAGAAGTTCCGTAAGTCCCCTGTAGATTCCTGCTGGGTCTTTTGTTGTCAACGGCAGCAAAGCATAGAAAACATACACATACCACACATCACACACCACACACACACACCATATACCACACACACCACATACACGCCACACACACCACGCACACCACACACACACATCATACACACACCATACATACCACACACACACACACACACCACACACATCATACACACACACCATACACACACCACACACCATACACACCACACACACGCCACACACACCATGCACACCACACACACCACACACACCACACACATCATACACACACAACATACACACCACACACACCACACACCATACACACCACACACACCACACACCATACACACCACACACCATACACACCATATACACCACACACACCACACACACCACACACACCACACACCATACACACCACACACACCCGCCACACCACACGCCATTCACACCACACACGTGCCACACACACATCATACACACACGCACACGCACACACATGCCCTTCCACTACTTGGAGGTCAAGGCAACTTGCTCCAGTCTTGCTCAGATAGCAAACAGCTGCTCCAGAATCAGCCCTACCTTGCTCCCACCTCTACAGTGAACTTTAACTTGACCTGGTGCAGTTGGCCACCAAGAGGGAGGGGAGTCACGTGGGGGTGCGTCAGGCACCTCACTGTGCTCTGCGTCTCATTATCTTCCAGGCTGTTCGCTTCCCCAGCTCCCAGCAAGGTGGTGGCTCAACCCACATTCGTTACCTTTGAGAACTGATTTTACCTGAAATTGTTTTTCTATCTAGTCTTCCTTCCCGCTTCAATTTGATTAAAACGATGGCGAGTCATGAAAACTTGCCACTTTACCTCCAGCTCCAGAGTTACCGCAGCTACATTCACAACAAGGCTCCAGAGACATAAATCACATGTAAGCAGACATACAAACACATGTATGTGTGTGAAATATACATGGAACAGACTTATCGTCTAGACTTCATATATAATATACAGATTAAATATATACGTATATCATAAGCACACTAAATACACATATTCTTTAAGTTAGAAAGGTCTGGCAAGATCTGGTGTAAGATCAGAATTTTTCTTCTTTGTTGCTAGGAACAATCATTACAAAAGAAAATAATATCTGGACTACAAAATTTCGTTATTTGGCAATTGGCTAAATTGTCTCAATATCATTCTAATTTGTCTTAGAACTAAGAATAAGTTTGTGAATGACACTAATTTGCTTACAAATTTATCATTTTCAGACCGTCTAAATGTCCACCTTGCATTTGAATACTACTAGTTATTTTACAGGAAATTTGTTTTAGTTTGCTTTAATAAATGGAGGTTTCATATTGCAAATACTTTTTTCCACAAGTATTTTAAAATGTTCTGCCTGGAAGATACCTGGTCCCAAGAGAAAATCGATTCAAAGCTTTGGTTGGTAAACATTATCTCTTCTCTAGTTCCAATTAGATTGCCCACATCAGAACCTAATCATCAGTTGGGGTCTCTGAAAGGACTCACCAGATTCCAGAGTCAACCACATGGCATGGCAGGAACAGGAGAGAGTACGCAGAGCCGGGACACCATCTCCAGGGCAACCTTCCCACTTTCCAGCCAGATACACGATGCTGCTTAGTCTGGGACTTGAACCACCCAGATCTGTGTGAGAAGCTTTCCAAATACTCTAAATCATCTAAACCATCCCGCCAGGTGTATAAGACTAAGCAGGCTAGTTGCAAACCACAACTCAAGAAACTGATCGGGTGGGAAGGCATCACCAAGGTGGTCTGGGATTCAAAACAGTTCATCAGGGATCTCAGTGTTCTTATTTCAGCCAGAGTTAAAATCCTTAATGATAACGATAGAGCTTTTCCGAAGCAAGTGTAAATGGACTCTATCTCCACAGTACCTTCAGTAAGCAAATACTCATTGTGCCTGTGGTACTTGCCAAGCATGCCCCAGAGAACTAACCATCTGCCTGGGACATCCCAGGTGTATGCTGCAGTATGTGTCTAGGATTATGCACGCCAGGAGGTTGCAGTAGCACATTCAAAGCAGAGTTCTCAGTGAAAAGTGACCAGTTCTCTAACTTTCATTTCCCCCATGTAATTAGGCTCCTCCGACCCTAAGTCAAAAGGGACATTATGCATTTCATTGACTCCCAAAGGGTTCAGTCATGTGTTGCATAGCAGTATGATACAATAATACTGAAGGCCAAGCTAATGCAAAAGGAAATGTGCCAGGCCCCTCCCTGGTGGCACAACAGGTTAAAGCGCAGCACTGGAAGCCAGCTGCAGCCACTGCAGCATGCGTTCGATCCCTGGCCAGGGAGTGAGCCACATGGTACAGCAGACCTCTCCTGACACGCCCACTGCTCCCCTCAGCAGTGTATTTCAGTACATCTGCCTCTTCTGCTCCCCGCTCTGTCTCTGGTGAAGCCTCTCACC